GTCGCCAGTATTACTGGAGTGGAATGAAGAGGCAGGTTGGCGACTTTGTCAGTCGATGTCTCATGTGTCAGCAGGTTAAGGTTGAACACCAGAGACCAGCAGGTTTGCTGCAGCCCTTGGAGGTAGCCGAGTGGAAGTGGGAGCATATCACGATGAATTTTGTGACCTATTTGCCACGGACATCGCTGGGTCATGATGCGGTGTAGGTGATAGTGGACCGGCTTACTAAGTCGGCACACTTTTTGGCTGTGCGGATAACCTTCACACTGGAGGAATTCTGCAGGTATATACGGGATATTTTTCGGTTGCATGGGGTACCCATCTCTATAGTATCGGATCGGGATCCCAAATTTGTAGCTCATTTTTGAGAGAGTTTTCAGCTGGCCATGGGGACACAACTGATGATGAGCACTGTTTTTCATCCCAGATGGACGGTCAGTCAAAGAGGACTATCCAGACTTTAGAGGACATGCTACGGGCATGCGTCCTTGATTTCAAGGGTGGCTGGGAGGAGCATTTACCATTAGTAGAGTTCGCCTACAAAAATAGTTATTAGGCGAGTATACAGATGACACCCTATGAGGCACTTTATGGGAGGCCGTGTCGTTCTCCGATTTGCTGGACCGAGGTTGGAGAAAGACCCTCCACCGGTCTGAATTTGATTAGAGACACTTCGGAGAAGGTGGACTTGATACGGAAATGTTTTATCACGGCTCAGAGCCGGCAGAAGAGCTACGCCGACAAACGACGGCGACCTCTGGAGTTCGAGGTCGGAGATCATGTCTTCTTAAAGGTGATGCCTAAGAGGGGAGTGGTCAGGTTCAGAAACGGGGGAAAGCTATCACCGAGGAATATCGGGCCCTTTGAGGTACTTGAGATGGTTGGTACAGTTGCCTATCAGTTGGCATTACTGCCAAATCTATCTGGTGTTCACGCGGTATTCCATGTTTCTATGCTCCGAAAGTACACTCTAAATCCTACACACGTGGTGGATTGGAGTGAGCTAGTGGTTGATGCGAATGAGACCTTTGAGGAGGGACCGGTGCGTATCATGGACAGCCGAGAGCAGGTTTTGCGGGACAAAACTGTGAGGCTGGTAAAGGTATTGTGGCAGCACCGTGGAGTGGAGGAGGCGACATGGGAGCGTGAGGACACTATCCGAGCTACCTATCCATTTCTGTTCGAGGATGGAGGCACATCTCTTATAGTTATAGAGTATTGAATGACTTTTTGCACATGTATGTTGTTATATGTGCATATATGTAAAATTTCGGGGACGAAATTTTCTTAAGGGGGGGAGAATGTAAAAACCCGAAAAAAAAAATTTAGTATTATTATTATTAAAAATTCTAATTTAAGGGGTAAAATAATAATTAATTGTTAAATTACGGGTCAAAAACATAAATTTCAAATATATATAAGTGGAAGACAAAGTTGGAGAAACGGCGAGACAGAGAGTGAGAGAGAGAAAAGTGAGTGTTTTTTTTTTATTTTCTTTTTTTCTCTCTTTTTTTTTTCTCAGATTTACGAAGATTGGACCGTTTAATCGCTTCGGCCCAAGAACTAAAGTTGCTCTACTCAGCGAGAGTTACGCAACTACACCAAATATCGTATTTTTCTCCGAAAGAATATCAAAAACGATAATCTAGACCTAAGGTTTGGGAAGCTAAATTTGGGCTTCCTCGGAGTTCTTAAATGTGGGCTTACGCTACGAGAGGTAGGGTTTACCCTATTTATATTTAATTTCAACTTAAAATATGACATATGGAATGAGTAGGCTATGTGTGTGTATCTCACATGTTAGGTCTTGAGTAGTGTAACTAGTGGGTCAAATATAGTATTTATAATTAACCTTGTGATTAATAAAATCCTATTACGATTAAATTGGTGTACGTTAATGTTAGTGGTTTAAAGCATGTTAGTTGTATATTAACATTATTTTATGTTTTAATGGCATATCAAGTTTAATAAAATTATTAGTTTGTTATGTGATTATGAAATAATATATATGTTAAAAGATTATTTAACATATGATTATTTTGGTGGACTTGTGCTTATGTTTATATAATTAATAAACATGTTGCAATGTTGAAAGTCATAGCATGCTAGTTGTGTAAATTGATGTGCTCTTTAGGTGTTTGATTAAATGCCTACGTGAATACAAGTATATTAGTTGAGTTGATTATCTTACATAACATGCTTGAGATCGTGTTAAAATGTCATTATATTGTATTCATTATGTAATGAACATTATATTGCATTATGCATGGGTTGCACTACATTCATGGGCATTGATATGGGTGAGAGTGTATACATGGTATGAAATCAATCACACGTAGGTGGTTGATCGTGGACTCGAAAAAGTCGCACTAAGGTTCGGTTGGGTCGCACGGAAAATTAAATGGATAAATGTGTTGGAGACAACAAGAAGGACTAGATTCTCCCTCGGGTGCAAGACCCGCTTACTTGGTTTATACACTTTCTGGCGGTGAAATTTCAGAAAAGTGTAACGGCAGAAACGGAGTCGCAGGTGGGATGTCCTGAAGATCCATTGATGGTTGGTGTCCCATTGGTGTAATACCATAAACCACCTCTCCATAAAAACACAAGAAAATAAATTAATTAGTCATTGAGTGTACATAACACCAATGATGAGGGCTTGGAATGCCCGGATACATACGTATGACATTGCATGTGTTATGGGAGCTCAGGATGGGGCTCGGGGTTGGTATTGCTTGCGTGAGTCTTATCTCATGACATGACATGATTTATGACATTCAATCGTAATAGACATAATTGAATGATTGTTGCATGTGACATTCTATATGCATTTAAGTTGAGAGGTATTCTATATAGGAGTTACTCTATTGAGCGTTGACTCACCTTTTATGGGAACATTTTTCAGGTGTCGCACAGGTGTCTCCTGAAGGCGAGGCCATGGGCCCGCTTTGACGACAGAGCCGATCTGTGGCTCTTATTTTGACATTATAGTCCCTTGTTTATACTTACTTTTGGCCTTGTATAATTTTGGTATCAAACATTTGTTTATATTTACAAAGACATGTATATGAGACTCTTTTGGGACATTTATTCTTTTACGAATAAATGTATGTACTGATGATGATTATGGTAGTATTCGAGACTATACAATTGTGAATGGATGGATAGACCCGGGGTGGTCAATATTGTACAGGTTGCGTTTTTGGGTAGAGCTCCTCGTACAAAGGAGATTTTGCCCAAATTTTGTTAAGTTATAGATCCCGAGAAATGGGGCATAATGGTGTGGTATCGAATTACACGATATCCACCAGTATTCCGCGGGTCGATAGATGATCAATCGGATAATTACAAACTCTCGAATTTTTGGGGTGTCACACTTTGACTAATTCTCTCTTCGGTCTGGTCAAAAACAGGTCATTCACGTCGGGATTAGGATATTCATATGGGAAAAATCCCTCACGACTTGACCCAATAGATTGTTAAGATTCAAACTCAGAACGTCTGCGTTTATAATTCGCCCCTGTTACTATTTGAAGTATCCCTTTGGGTTAGGAAAACTACTCAGGGCAATGATGGTTTAGAAAGGGGGATAGTTAGATAAACATAATTTAATTGAGCCAATTTTGTGACAAAAGAACTTTGTTTATGTTTAACACATGCACGTTTAAATTACCTCTCAAAAAACCCTCATGCACCTTAATTTCTTTTATCATCTCTTACATTGAGATTAAAATTTTTAACTTTCCCAATTAAGTAAAAACTTAAATAAAGTTTAGTCAGTTGAACCCACCAACCAGTCAACATGTGTTTTAAGAAATCATTATGGAGCCTTTCTTCTATCTCTTCTTTCCTATATCTCATCTCCTATCTCTCTTACTGTTGTTTAATTTAGATATATATGGTTTGAAAAACATCCTTTAATTATAACTATAGTGATTGTGAAAGTATAAAAATTAATTGAGAATAACTGCAAACGCATTGAATAGAAGTGTTATCAATTCATATTTAAGTTTTGCATTGATTGATAGTTTACCTTTTTTTTCCTTCATTGTTTGGGAAGTTGGCTGAAAAAATATTAGAACACCAAATCCACTTTTACCATAATATGCAGTAACAAATCATAGATTTCTAAAAAGTGAAAAAGACAATACAAAATAATCACACTTGAAAAAAAGGCTGACATAATGGAATCTGAGCAGCTTGAAAATTAGGATAAAACTATAATCTCATACCAAAAATTCACGACAGTAGTAGATTTTGTCTTTATTTATTTGCAGTCGTTGATCGTAGAATAGACTTATTTAAATGGTTAAAAATAAGATATATAGTACCAATGCTGAGCTTTATAATCTTGGTTCTTCTTTTGATCCAAAAAAATATATGTAGTGCCCACTAGACAGCACATGATGATGCCATATGTAGTATTTGGTGTTTAGACCCGATGAAAAATTATCATGCTGGTTAAGAATTTTGACAATTTAATTAATGATAATAATTAATTAAAAATATACAATATTTTATAGTGTCTTGTGAAAAATGAATATTTCCTCTTCCTGGTGATGAAATGTGGGGACATTTTTTCAAATAATGTTATATGAACTTAAAATATATACTTAATTAATCATTGTCATTAATTTTATTATGAATTTAGTATTTATTAATATTTACTATTTAATAATTATGATTAATTAAATCTATATTTTAAGTTTAAATAACACTTCTCATCTCTTTAGGACGAGAAGAGAAGACATTTTATGGTTACGTAGACGTATTGTTGATGTTGCTTAGAAGCCAGCTGCTTTCCAGTATGATTTCTGTCACGTTTCTTTCTTTTTTATTTTTGTCTATTTTTTTCTTTATTCGTTTGCTTTCTCCTGGCAGAGGTCGGTTTAAAGACATCAAAGGCCCCAACCCCCGAGGAGATTCTCTCTCAATTGTCCAAGTAGCTATATATTCACCACCTACTCTCCAAATAGACTGGTTGTTGTGTACAAACGTTAAGAGAGAGAGAGAGAGAGAGAGAGAGAGAGAGAGAGAGAGAGAGAGAGAGATGGAGAAGTTAGCAGGTTTGAGCCACCTCTTTGTGACGGTGTTCCTCTCTAACTTCGCGGTGCTAATGGTGAATCCGGCAATCACAGACGTCACCATGGCGGCACTTTGCCCTGGTAAAGATCAATGCTCCCTCGCCATTTACCTCTCCGGATTGCAACAGGCGGTATGTGTGTGTGTGTTTTTTATTACTTAATGCTAGCTCTTCTCCTTTCTCTGCAAGTCTCTATCGATTACTCTTAATTCTCTCTCTGCTGCTGCTCTAAAGCTCTCGCATGGTTTGGTTACAGATTTTATTAATTCTTCTCCAAAAAGGGTATTTATTATTATTATATTATTATTATTTTATTATTATTATTATTCCCGTGTACCCTCTACAGTTTTTTCACTGAAAAAGTTGTCAAGTACAAAACCGTTAGGAAAAAAAAAAACAAAAAAAAACTAGCCATTGAACTTGTTCAGGAGACTATAGTTGAGTTTTTTTGGTAATGGGTTTTTTCTCTAGAAATCCATTGAGCTTTGTCTATGGACCCCAAATGCATTTCTCCCCAAAAAAGTACCTAATAAACATTAAAAAAAAAAAAAAAAGAATTACACTCAGACATCCTGTAGTTTGTCACTTAATCACTCAGATCCCCTGACATTTGAAATATTACACACAGATCCTTGACATTTGTACACGCGTAACACTTAGACCCTGTCATAAATATATCCGTTAATAAATTCTACTTAGACCCTCTTGAAGTTTGTAGGTATATAATACTTAATCCTCTTAAATTTAAAATATTATACTTAAACAAAAAATATTTCAATTAAAGATAGAATATCAAATATTTTAAATTTTACAACCAAAATTCATGTTTTATTGTATCATTTATTGAAATAAAATAAACCAAGATCAAACAAATTTTATTTTACCTCTTCATAGAATATTTTGCCTCAAAATCAAAATAGAATATTTTGCCTATCATATACCTCTTCATATTAACCAAGATCAAACAAATTTTCTCTATCCTCTCTTTCTTTCTTTTTTTTTTCCTCTCATATATATATATATATATATATATATATTGGATAAAATTAATTTGAATTGTGTAATTATAAAAAATAAAGAAAAAATAAATTTATATTACAAAACTAGTGTTCGATTTATTTGTATTATCCAGTGCTTTTAAGCAGAGATTATTACTAGTATATATATAAAGCCAGACAATCAATTTTTTTTTCGAGGTGAGCTAAGATGTAAATTTCCACATTTAATTCAACATTAGAGGCATTCATGTATTTAGGGGTCGGAAGGAGAATCTCCCACCCAAAACGTTCGAAGATCTTTTTTATTATAGTGTTATTAGTTACAAATATTCACAAATAATTCAATTCTGCTAGGTGAAGTGTAAGAGAGTACTTAATAAGTGTGAATTTTTTTTATCTTTATTGTACAGTACATTTTTAAAAAATCGCACGAGCCTAAATGCAGGCCTGTCCAAGGAGAAATAACAATGAGGGCTATATTCACCTCTATGTAAGGTAGTCTCCTCACTAAACACAAGTAAGAGCTAGCTTGCATTGAGAATGGAGGGCCCTCCAAAGGGGGTACTTCATAAGTGTTACAATTATAATTGCATGATTCATTACCTTCCACTCCCTTGCCTCATTAGAATAAAGCAACAAGAGAGATATAAAATTGGGTGTGTTGTGATGCAGATCATAGGAATGGGGACGCTGGTGATGATACCGCTAATTGGAAAACTGTCTGATGTGTATGGAAGGAAAGCTTTACTAACACTCCCTATGACTCTCTCCATTCTTCCACTGGGTAGGCTTCCTCTCTTTGCTTTAAGGTCTCAAAGCAATGTTTTCCAAGTCCGCCTGTTTGGACTGATTGCTGCTTTTTTAGGCCACCCATTTCTATTACTTCATTCATGGATCATGGATGATGAGTCAACCATTTATGTAACTTTGTGCCTACTAACACTACTCATTAATTAGTCACTCCATTAACATTCTATATGATACACACCAAAAAAAAAAACAATTAGTTTGTCGACATAAAATAGACGGCCTGAGTTTTATACATTTTGGGGCCCTTAGGTGCCGCCTACGAATGGCGGTGCTCCTCTCTCTCTCTCTCTGGATTTTGACCAACACAAACACAACCATTTTGAGCAAAGGTAATTACCAAATTTGATCAAGGGTAAATATACCATTTTGCAATTTAAACTGTTATGCTATTCTGACATAACTCAAGTGGTGGAGATGTGATTTACCCAATGTGTCATCAATTTTGATGCGACTTTTACACTTTGTACAACACAGATCTATCTTAGTGGATGCCTTTGGACTTTCCAGCCCCATATCTATGTAGATAGGAGAAGGTTATACAAGGAAAGCCTGGAGACCCAATCCAATTCTTGTCTAATGAATTTGGAAGAACTCATTTTCTGATTTAAAAACCAACTAAACTGTCAAATGAAACCACATTGACTTCAATGCAAAAGCCACTTAGTGGAACACATTCTAATTTACTTCAATAACCCTTGGTATGTATTTGATAATTGATACTGATAATTAGAATGACATTGTTTTACAGTTATATTGGCATACAGCCGATCGACAACCTATTTCTATGTCTACTATGTGTTCAGGACTCTCACTGCCATGACAAGCGAAGGCAGCGTTCAGTGCCTTGCTCTTGCTTATGTGGTACTTTAAATCATCCAAAACCTTTCTATACGTTCAAGTTATTACCATTTAAACCCTGCCTACACCTCAAAATGCCAACTTTATCAAACTACAATCTCATTTCATTTTTCTCAGGCAGACAACATTTCAGAGGGAAAGCGAGTCTCAGCAATTGGAGTTCTAACTGGCGTAGGTACCGCTGCAATCGTATGTGGTACCTTAGCTACTCGTTTTCTCTCCACTGCCCAGACATTTCAGGTCATTTCCTTTCTCCATTCCTTAAATCTTCGTTTTGTTGATGCATTCGTGTTGAGAAAGTTCTTTTTTTTTTTTAGTTTTCCAACTTGGGATGAGTTTGAGTTCCTTCTTCATTCCTTAAATCTTTGCCACATCTTTACTTGTGGCTAGCTAAGAATAGGTTGTGATATGAAATGTTGTCTCATTCAGGTTGCTGCATTTGTAGCAATGGCTGCAGTGGTGTACATGAGACTTTTCCTCAAGGACACGAACCGAATTAATGATGCTTTGGTGCAGCCAATGTTGAAGAGTGGATCAGATGTTACCAAGTCAGATGAAGAATCATCTAAGAAGATACAGGTCTTCAAAAGAATCTCATCAATGGGTGAGCTTATTTGCTTGCTCAGCAGTAGGTAAGACAAATTTGATTTCTATTTGGAGCCTTGATATCTTCACAGTAAAGCTTACCTAATCAGTCTTTACAAATGCTATAGAAGATTTTCATTGAATGGTAGGACATCAGCAAAATGTGCTTCATTTTGTTATTCTCAATGGGTGCTTACTCTTAAATGCACACTGTTATAACTTGTATTCCTCTTCCTGCAGTGGTACATTTTCTCGAGCAGCATTTGTTGCTTTCTTCAATAGTCTTGCAGAGGGTGGACTTCATGCTTCTTTACTGGTACATCTTTTCCTTACAGACATTACTTTTCCCTCCAATGATTTGCAAATTATTGACCAAAAGGAAACCATTGAGGACGTAAAACACCAACGGGCATTAGAAGCCCATATGAGCTCCTGACAACAAATTTTCACTATATTCCATTTAAACAAGATAGATAAGCTGTGAGGCATTATGAACACTAAGGAAGAGCTTGGAACAATGGCCAGAAAAAAAGTGGATAGAATGTGTAGTAGATAAAATATCTATGACATTAGAATGAACTAACTAGTTGAAATGCTCTTTTAGACGAAGCTGCAATTAAATTACATATCAAGTTGTAATTATATAAGGAAAGGAAAAAGAGGAATTTTTCCTTCATGAAGCAGAATATTGGGTCATCCTAATATGAGTTCGTTGATAAAGCTCAAAGGCATATGCTATTACGTGATTAGCATATTACTTGCACAAACCACATTGTCCGAATTTGCTGCTCCTGTTACTGCTGCTATTATAAACTTGACTCTTAAGTTCAGCCTTGTACAGTGGTATATACATGCACACTCAATATGCAACCAAAATTTTTCGATAGCGTCTAAATGTTCTATCCTTGTGCAGTATTTCTTCAAGGCCCAGTTTCACTTCAACAAAGACCAATTTGCTGATCTAATGCTGATTGTCAACATTGGAGGGACCTTTTCACAGGTAAGTTTTATATGATTTTGTGCTGACAAGTTTTGCTACTACAATCTATATATCGTACTTTCCCCATTTCTTATTAAATGGTTATTAAATGGTCCTTGCTATGGTTGTGTGATGACTCATAAATATTTGGGAACTCATGCAGCTGCTTCTCATGCCTACATTTGCTCCCATCATAGGAGAGGAGAAATTGCTTTCCATAGGGCTGTTTGCTGGATTTTTGAACGTATGTGCCTCCTGTCACAGTGAGAGAGAGAGAGAGAGTTGTACATCAATTATATGCTGATGATTTTGTATTGGTACCATGCAGATGCTACTTAACAGCATAGCATGGTCAGTCTGGGTAAGTCCTTTATTTACCAGCTTTATTGCTAGGAAATTTGTTCCCAAAAATACAAGGGTTGTATATAATTTTTATGAACATTTACAAAATTCTGCAGGTTCCTTATGCAGTAGCTGGGTTCTATGTTTTCACATCAGTTGCAACCCCAAGTGTAAGTTCATTGAATCACCTATTCTCAGCTGGTTTAGCTATTTTGACTGTTACTCACAAAAAAAAAACTGCTATGATTTTTATGAGATTTTTTAACTTATGCAGCTACGAAGCATTGTATCGAAACAAGTTGGGCCCATGGAACAGGTAGTTCTTTCCTATAACAGGCTTTAAATTCTTAATTGTTGTATATTGAAATCAATCTGTTTTAGAATTCCATAGACACAACCTACCTATTTCGTTGGCTCTTCCAAAACATCATGTTCAATTTGCAGAAGCATTCAAAACTTAACCAATTCGGTTGAGTATTTGGAAAATCATCAAGCTTTGTCCTTCTTTTGGAGAAGGCTTACAATGATTGTCAAGTAGGTTCGGTTCTGTGTGTTGATTGTCATCCCACCTTCTTAAGAATTCTCCATTATTATCGTTCGTTCATTACAAGCACTTACATGCCATTTCTTTCATTTTTTTTCAGGGGATGGCTCAAGGATGTATTTCAGGCGTGAGTTCCTTTGCGAATATCATCAGCCCCTTAATATATAGTCCTCTAGCAGGTAACTTGAAAATAAAAAGTATATCTTGTTGCATTAGCAGAAATGGAAAGAAATGTAAAACTTATTTCGAACTAACTTCTTGTTATTTTCTTCTTCTTCCAGCTCTATTTTTATCCGATCGAGCTCCATTTCATTTCCCTGGTTTCAGTGTCATGTGCATAGGACTTGCTTGGGTAAGTCATCTACTGCAAAAAACCACCGATGGACCTTGATTTTATAGTTCTCCAATAAATTCATAAGATGGAATGGTCATTGTTACTACATGCAATGGATTGATCCATGATAGGAATATGTCATCCATTCCACCGTACAGGAATTATTCTCCTTATTTGGCCTATTTATCTGTTTTTCAAGGCTCTTCAATCATATATGTAGGTTAGTTTACTTACAAAAAAAAAAAAAACTAGGTTAGCTTGTTGATAAGGGTAGATGTAAGTTTTTCAAATTCTATCACACCCATAAAAGAAACCTCTTTTTTTTGCCCTTGTGGACCATCAAGTTTTAAATCCCCTTTTGATAACTCAAGCTATTATTTATTAAAAAATTCCCAATTTACCCTCAAGTTTATTAGTTCGAAATGTTGAAAATTCAAGTAGAGGAATTACTAGAGGTAGAGGGAGCTTTGGTAATTCATTCTTCTCCACTGGAATTTAGATTTTTAATTTATTGTCTCCTTAAATAAACTAATTAAAAAAAGGGTCCCTTTTTAATGGGGCGGGGGAAGCTACGTTATCTTATGTTTTTTTCCTGGTGATATGGAAACAGAAATACATCAAGGTTTCCTCTCATGCAGCTATATTATCGATCATCATTCTATTTCTATCTAATACTTTGAAGTTGTCACTGTGCAGATGATGGCCTTTATTGCAAGTACAATGATCAAGGCTGCTCCCCATAGTTCTAGAGGCAAAATCAGCATTAAGGACTACACGGTTGCCTAGTTGTGAGGATTTAAATAGTGTCAAAAAGAAGACATATCTGGCTGGCAGCCTAGGAGTAATCTTATTCGTTCAAATACTCACAAAGATACCTAGAAGAACACAAAGAACAATGGCCATCGGTACTGTTGCAAAGCTTAACTGCCCTTTTGTATGAAAATCAATTTGACCCAATATTGGGGGGAAAAAACTTTCTTCAACTAGAAGAGTATATCACCTATAAGTATGGCATACAATTGTCTGGGTCATATCCAGGAGACAAACTTAGGTCTGCATTCTCTTAGCTTTATTGGGCATGCAAATGTCTTTTTTAGCAATAATATTCTCTCCTGATTTTGGGCAATTGTAGATGATCCAAAGATTTTTTTGAATGGATCAAATTTAGCTAGTGTAACCTCTTTTTAATTTATTTTAGCTCATACTATTATCGTCATTGTATTTCTCGTTTTTCTTGTTATTTCGTTCATTGTCATCATTACTCCCTTGCAATCATTAGATGCCACCCGCTCATGTATTAAAACAAAATTTTGATGTCCTCGAAGTTTCTATGTTTGGATTCAAAACGCTGCATATAAAGTAATACCAACGTCAAGAACCAAAAAAAAAAAAAAAAATTGAACACAAACACATAAAGAGAGAGGAACTGTATTGTCTCAACTCAACCACCATCTAAAGTTTAAATCCAGCTCCTGGAAGATTGATGAAAAAATTGATCTTAGCCAGGGGTAAATTTCCCAATTCCCAATCAGATTGCCTCAATACCCATGCTCAAATCCTGGAACTTCTCAATGTTTCAAATGAAAGAAAAAACACAGGGAAAGGACATTCCTATCTTTCTTTGCTTATTGAACTATATTGGTCAATAACAACTTCTAGAACATAAACGCCAAACTTACACTCTGTCAAAATGCAATTCATTTTAAAACCACAAAGCCAGAGGCAGCAGAGACCCTGCCGGAATTAGTCTTACAATTTTCTACAAAAGACAATAGCAAAGACCTGTACACATACGGATAAAAAGCCTATTTTTCATGATCCTATAATCCTTGGTTGTTTCTTAGGTAATAAACAGATGAATGCAATGTATACAGAATTCCTGTTGTAGACAGCATAAAAGCCAAAGCTTAATCCCTGTCAAATATCAATGCTTTTTTAAATCACAAAGCCAGAGGCAGTGGATACCTTGCCGAAATTAGTCTTACAATTTTCTAAAAAAGACAACAGCAAAAACATGTACACACAGATAAAAAGCCCATTTTTCAAGATCCTATAATCCTTGGTTGTTTCTTACGTGTGCATACTATAAATAAACAGATGAATGCAAACAAGAGCAATGCACTACACTTCTAGACCCCTTATCTCTAAGAGATGGCTGAAGGTAGGAACCAAAGTAACATTGTGATGTTTCCATTTATGGCTCAAGGCCATCTCATTCCTTTCTTGGCACTTGCACGGCAATTAGAGCTAAGGAAGGGTTATACAATCACCATTGTCAATACACCTTTAAACATCCAAAGGCTCAGATCCTCACTCCCTCCTGAAACATGCATACGCCTTGCTGAAATCTCCTTTTGTGCCACCGACTATGGCCTTCCACCTGACTCAGAAAACACATATATGTTGTCTGATGATGATGGTTTTCGCCTCTTGGAGGCCTCGGAAAATCTTGAATCACCCCTTAGGAACCTCCTTATGGAAATCACTGAACGTGATGGCTTTGCACCAGTGTGCCTTATCTCAGATATGTTCTTGGGGTGGACGGTTAAAGTTGCAAATGAGCTTGGGATATTTCATTCAGTGTTCATAGCAGGGGTTGGCTACAGCATGGCAATTTACTTTTCCATTTCTCTGAACACATCCTTGTGGCAAACAGATGACGAGGAATTTTCCCTGCCTGATTTCCCTGAAGCAACCAAAATTCGTCAGACACGAATTCCCAATGCTCTCAAATACATGGATGCTGCTGAGCCCTGGTTTGGTTTCCGTAAGCGTCAGTTCATGTATTGCTTACATTCAGACGCAATCTTATTGAATACCATAGAGGGGTTGGGACAAAATGGTGTAAAATATTTTAGCAGGAAAACAGGGGGAAAGCCAGTGTGGACAATCGGACCAGTCTCGTCTCTCATGATAAAAAATGAAAGACTCTCAAGCAATGCTAATAGTTACTCTGAATGGCTCAATACTCATCCACCTGCTTCAGTACTCTATGTCTGCTTTGGATCACAGAGCTGTATCTCACCTTCACAAATGAAAGAATTGGCTATGGGTTTAGAGGCAAGCAGCAATGCTTTTATTTGGGTTGCTAGGCCACCGGTGGGGTTCATCTTGACAGAAGAATTTAGAACTGAATGGCTGCCTGATGGATTTGAGGAACGGATGAAGAAATTGAAGCGGGGACTATTGGTACATCAATGGGCGCCACAACAGGAAATTCTGTCTCACGTATCTACGGGTGCATTTCTTAGCCATTGTGGTTGGAACTCTGTTCTTGAGAGTCTGTGTCAAGGTGTACCAATAATCGGGTGGCCACTGGCTGGAGAGCAGTTCTTTAACTCTCATATGCTTGAAAAAGAAGTAGGTGTTTGTTTTGAGTTACGAGAAGGGAACACTTCTGAAGTTATAAGACATGATCATATTGCAAGTGTCATCAAGATGGTTATGGACAAGACAGGCAAAGGTGAGGAGCTGAGAAGTAAGGCCCATGCAATCAGAGAGAAGATGGAAGAGGCAATTAGAGAAGGAGAAGGCTTTAAAGGATCATCTGTCAAAGCTATGGATGAATTTATCAGCACTGCCACGTCAGGGAAAGAAGTTTCATACCCTCCATGGAAGTAGACTTCTTAGATAACTGCATTTAATGATTTTAATGAACAAAGAACTGAAAAACAGATGAATGAACAAAGATGAATGGTATATTCAATGTTACCGAAAAGCTAGGAAAACAAAACTGGGAAAAAATATTGCAAGTAACCAAAGCCGCATCCAAGAGTTGAACTTGAGCGTGTATTTTGTACAATTACCACAGCTCTTTTCTCTAACAAAGGTTGCTGCAAAATCACCGCAAAAACTGCTATGATTTTTATGAGATTTTTTAACTTATGCAGCTATGAAGCATTGTATCGAAACAAGTTGAGGCCACGGAGCAGGTAGTTCTTTCCTATAACAGGCTTTAAATTCTTAATTGTTGTATATTGAAATCAATCTGTTTTAGAATTCCGTAGACACAACCTACATATTTCGTTGGCTCTTCCAAAACATTATGTTCAATATGCAGAAGCATTCAAAACTTAACCAATTCGGTTGAGTATTTGGAAAATCATCAGGTTTTTCTTTCTTTCTTTTGGAGAAGGCTTACAATGATTGTCAAGTAGGTTCGGTTCTGTGTGTTGATTGTCTAACCACCTTCTTAAGAATTCTCCATTATTATCGTTCTTTCATTACTAGCACTTAGCACTTACATGCTATTTCTTTCATTTTTTTTCAGGGGATGGCCAAGGATGTATTTCAGAAAAACAGATAAAAAGGCCAAATAAGGAGAATAATTCCTCTACAGTGGAATGGATGATATATTCCTATCATGGATCAATCCATTACATGTAGTAACAATGACCATTCCATCTTATGAATTTATTGGAGAACTATAAAATCAAGGTCCATCGGTTTTTTGCAGTAGATGACTTACCCAAGCAAGTCCTATGCACATGACACTGAAACCAGGGAAATGAAATGGAGCGCAATCGGCTGGAAGAAGAAGAAAATATCAAGAAGTTAGTTCGAAATAAGCTGTACATTTCTTTCCATTTCTGCTAATGCAACAAGATATACTTTTTATTTTCAAGTTACCTGCTGGAGGACTATATATTAAGGGGCTGATGATATTCGCAAAGGGGAAGAATGAATTACCAAAGCTCCCTCTACCTCTAGTAATTCCTCTACTTGAATTTTCAACATTTCGAACTAATAAACTTGAGGGTAAATTGGGAATTTTCTAATACATAATAGCTTGAGTTACCAAAAGGGGACTTATAACTTGATAGTCCACAACGGCCAAAAAAAAAAAAAGGTTTCTTTTATGGGTGTGAGAGAATTTGAAAAACTTACATCTACCCTTGTCAACAAGCTAACCTAGTTTTTTTTGTAAGTAAACTAACCTAATTTAGATTTTTAATTAATTGTCTCCTTAAATAAACTAATTAAAAAAAGGGTCTCTTTTTCGTGGGGCAGGGGAAGCTACGTTATCTTATGTTTTTTTTTCTGGTGATATGGAAACAGGAATACATCAAGGTTTCCTCTCATGCAGCTATATTATCGATCATCATTCTATTTCTATCTAATACTTTGAAGTTGTCACTGTGCAGATGATGGCCTTTATTGCAAGTACAATGATCAAGGCTGCTCCCCATAGTTCTAGAGGCAAAATCAGCATTAAGGACTGCACGGTTGCCTAGTTGTGAGGATTTAAATAGTGTCAAAAAGAAGACATATCTGGCTGGCAGCCTAGGAGTAATCTTATTCGTTCAAATACTCACAAAGATACCTAGAAGAACACAAAGAACAATGGCCATCGGTACTGTTGCAAAGCTTAATTGCCCTTTTGTATGAAAATCAATTTGACCCAATATTGGGGGGAAAAAACTTTCTTCAACTAGAAGAGTGTATCACCTATAAGTATGGCATACAATTGTCTGGGTTATATCCAGGAGACAAACTTAGGTCTGCATTCTCTTAGCTTTATTGGGCATGCAAATGTCTTTTTTAGCAATAATAATCTCTCCTGATTTTGGGCAATTGTAGATGATCCAAAGATTATTTGAATGGATAAAATTCAGCTAGTGTAACCTCGTTTTTTTTTTTTAGATCATACTATTATCGTTATTGTATTTCTCGCTTTTCTTTCATTGTCATCATTACTCCCTTGCAATCATTAGATGCCACCCGCTCATGTATTAAAACAAAATTTTGATGTCCTCGAAGTTTCTATGTTTGGATTCAAAACGCTGCATATAAAGTAATACCAACGTCAAGAACCAAAAAAAAAAAAAAAATTGAACACAAACACATAAAGAGAGAGGAACTGTATTGTCTCAACTCAACCACCATCTAAAGTTTAAATCCAGCTCCTGGAAGATTGATGAAAAAATTGATCTTAGCCAGGGGTAAATTTCCCAATTCCCAATCAGATTGCCTCAATACCCATGCTCAAATCCTGGAACTTCTCAATGTTTCAAATGAAAGAAAAAACACAGGGAAAGGACATTCCTATCTTTCTTTGCTTATTGAACTATATTGGTCAATAACAACTTCTAGAACATAAACGCCAAACTTACACTCTGTCAAAATGCAATTCATTTTAAAACCACAAAGCCAGAGGCAGCAGAGACCCTGCCGGAATTAGTCTTACAATTTTCTACAAAAGACAATAGCAAAGACCTGTACACATACGGATAAAAAGCCTATTTTTCATGATCCTATAATCCTTGGTTGTTTCTTAGGTAATAAACAGATGAATGCAATGTATACAGAATTCCTGTTGTAGACAGCATAAAAGCCAAAGCTTAATCCCTGTCAAATATCAATGCTTTTTTAAATCACAAAGCCAGAGGCAGTGGATACCTTGCCGAAATTAGTCTTACAATTTTCTAAAAAAGACAACAGCAAAAACATGTACACACAGATAAAAAGCCCATTTTTCAAGATCCTATAATCCTTGGTTGTTTCTTACGTGTGCATACTATAAATAAACAGATGAATGCAAACAAGAGCAATGCACTACACTTCTAGACCCCTTATCTCTAAGAGATGGCTGAAGGTAGGAACCAAAGTAACATTGTGATGTTTCCATTTATGGCTCAAGGCCATCTCATTCCTTTCTTGGCACTTGCACGGCAATTAGAGCTAAGGAAGGGTTATACAATCACCATTGTCAATACACCTTTAAACATCCAAAGGCTCAGATCCTCACTCCCTCCTGAAACATGCATACGCCTTGCTGAAATCCCCTTTTGTGCCACCGACTATGGCCTTCCACCTGACTCAGAAAACACATATATGTTGTCTGATGTTGATGGTTTTTGCCTCTTGGAGGCCTCAGAAAATCTTGAATCACCCCTTAAGAACCTCCTTATGGAAATCACTGAACGTGATGGCTATGCACCAGTGTGCATTATCTCAGATATGTTCTTGGGGTGGACGGTTAAAGTTGCAAATGAGCTTGGGATATTTCATTCAGTGTTCATAGCAGGGGTTGCCTACAGCATGGCAATTTACTTTTCCATTTCTCTGAACACATCCTTGTGGCAAACAAATGACGAGGAATTTTCACTGCCTGATTTCCCTGAAGCATCCAAAATTCATCGGGCACGAACTCCCAATGATCTCAAATACATGGATGCTGCTGAGGCCTGGTTTGGTTTCCGTAAGCGTCAGTTCATGTATTGCTTACATTCAGACGCAATCTTATTGAATACCATAGAGGGGTTGGGACAAAATGGTGTAAAATATTTTAGCAGGAAAACAGGGGGAAAGCCAGTGTGGACAATCGGACCAGTCTCGTCTCTCATGATAAAAAATGAAAGACTCTCGAGCAATGCTAATAGTTACTCTGAATGGCTCAATACTCATCCACCTGCTTCAGTACTCTATGTCTGCTTTGGATCACAGAGCAGTATCTCACCTTCACAAATGAAAGAATTGGCTATGGGTTTAGAGGCAAGCGGCAAGGCTTTTATATGGGTTGCTAGGCCACCGGTGGGGTTCATCTTGACAGAAGAATTTAGAACTGAGTGGCTGCCTGATGGACTTGAGGAACGGATGAAGAAATTGAAGCGGGGACTATTGGTACATCAATGGGCGCCACAACAGGAAATTCTGTCTCACGTATCTATGGGTGCATTCCTCAGCCATTGTGGTTGGAACTCTGTTCTTGAGAGTCTGTGTCAAGGTGTACCAATAATTGGGTGGCCACTGGCTGGAGAGCAGTTCTTTAACTCTCATTTGCTTGAAAAATAAGTAGGTGTTTGTTTTGAGTTACGAGAAGGGAACACTTCTGAAGTTATAAGACATGATCATATTGCAAGTGTCATCAAGATGGTGATGGACAAGACAGGAAAAGGTGAGGAGCTGAGAAGTAAGGCCCATGCAATCAGAGAAAAGATGGAAGAGGCAATTAGAGAGGGAGAAGGCTTTAAAGGATCATCTGTCAAAGCTATGGATGAATTTATCAGCACTGCCACGTCAGCGAAAGAAGTTTCTTACCCTCCATGGAAGTAGACATCTTAGATAACTGCATTTTATGATTTTAATGAACAAAGAACTGAAAAACAGATGAATGAACAAAGATGAATGGTATATTCAATGATACCAAAAAGCTAGGAAAACAAAACTGGGAAAAAATATTGCAAGTAACCAAAGCCACATCAAAGAGTTGAACTTGAGCGTGTATTTTGTACAATTACCATAGTTCTTTTCTCTAACAAAGGTTGCTGCAAAATCACCGCAAAAAGTCTTCAGCACTGTAGTTATCTCTACGTTTATCCAATGAACCACCACTGTTGGCATTCAGCAGTTGAATTCTCTCCATTCCACTCCAGATTTGACCTTCACCTTGGCAGGGAAAACTATTGCATCATCAGGTCCTCAGGTGAAAATACGCCATGCAACCTGACCCTTGCCTTGGGTCTCTGCTGGAAACAGAAAGTGCAAAATCATCAGCACAAGCATATGATTAGGATCATCATCATCATCACCAATAAAATTATCATAATCCCTCTTATCATTATCATTTTCATCATTATAGCATCCATCCTAGTCAAATCATCATTATTGCTTGAAAAATCATCATAGTCATTATCAATGCCACCAAAGACAAAACCATCATAGTAATCACCAAAATCACCACATCATCTTCGTTATAATGGGAATCTCCACGACCGCCCTCCTCATCATCCTTGTCGTAATCGCTATCGTTTGTTATCATCATCATAGTAAAAGAAGAAGTCATTGACATCAACATCATTACCAAAGTAGCCAAAGGGAAAGAATGGAATCCGATCACATATCACAACCTTATACAAGAAAGTAGAGAAATTAGAACTTCTACTGTTGCGCATATAGTTTGTGGAGATAAACGCCTTTGTATTACAAAATTCAAAATGGAAAATCAACTCATCATAAGTGATGCTGAAAGTAAAAGATGAAAGCTATCAATATGCAGTGGGTGGACATAATAAAAGAAATCAAGCAAATCCAGGTCACCAATGTTGCATGTGGAGTCTCTGCTCCCAAAAGGGAAGTCCGGTAACAGGATTGTTTCTCAATAATTACTCCAAAAACATCCTAATACTAAGCATATAGGGTGAAAGGTTAACTTAAAATGGATATATGAGCAGGAGCACCATAGACACAAATTTTAACTCCCTTCCAACCTGTTTGCCCTTTCAGTCTTTCAGACATATGTCATCTGAATGCACCAAGGTTTCCTTTCCAATTATGGGTGCCAGTGTCTGGCAGAGAGTACATTAAAAAATAAGCCTTCCCCAGAGTACTTTTCTCTATTGATTTGAGTTTAATATTTTTGCAAAGGCTTAAGAACCAAAACAGCGATGCCACTTAAAGATGGCAAGATTCAAAAGTTAGTTTAGTACAGTGGAACATACCTCTCCAATATTTGTAGGCAGAGTAGCCCTATCAATGCATTTTGGTGTCCATAATTTTATAGCATGCTCAATTCCGCTGCTTGCAAGTACAGTTGTATGAGGATGAGACTCAATAGAGTTCACGACATGATTATCTGCTTCCACGACACGAATGAGCTCCCCACTCTTCTTCCAAATGAAAATCCGGCCACAATCTGACCCACTAACAATATAGTCACATTTAGGCCCGAAGAAGTTCACACCTTTCACCGTGTCACAGTTCTTGTGCCCCTTATAAACTCGGGGACCAACTTTCGAATCACCATCTAGATCCGTTGGAAATGCCACAGAATGAGGATAAAGTCCCGTTTTACCTGTGTCACAGCCCATAGATCATGACTGGATCGTGCCCCCATCCCATTTCCGTTGTGAAAAGATAGATGAATTCATCATTGTAAGAAACAAGAAGCTCGCCCTGATCCGAGAATGCCAATCCTGTTATTCCCACATGCTTGTCACCAATTAAATGTGGGGGGCAAAAGAACTCAGTTGGATGACCAAAATCAGTTGAGCTGCCCCATCGATGTTTGCGGAAATCATAGAGTCGGGTATACTCGTCTGATCCCGCGACCGCAATCAAATTAGGATTCCGCGGATCAATGGCAATTGCATTTAGATGAACTACTGGTCTGGAACTTTTAGCTAGGAGAGGTCGGCAAGTAAAAATTTCTGTAGCAGTTCCGGTTCTCAGATCAAACTGTAAAAGCAGATGACAGAATCATACCATTTTGACGTAACCAATTAGAACATGCATGGGACAAATGAAAATTTAAGAAACGAGTGACATCTTAAGGGATGTCAGAAAAAGCACAATGAGTAAACTGGATCACCAGAACCCCTCTTCAAAAAAATTAGAAGTCCTGACATCAATTCCCCTTGGATCCATCTCCTAGGGACATAGCAATTCCTGGTGTATATGGGACATGGATTAAATATAGACAGTAGGATTAGAGGAGTGCTTATCTCCTTGTTCACAACCTTTTCTCCCCCCTCACCCAAGAAGAAAAAGAAAAAGAAAAAATCAGCTAAAAGTGTTGGCCTTTGGGAGCCTAGTTTGTATGTCGACCCGGATGATGATCCGATCTAAAATAATGTTGCCTAATTTTTAATAAAAATTTTTTTGAAGCTTGATCCATAGAGCGAAGGCTTGGGCCTATTTTGTAGTCCGGTGCATAGGACATATAAAAACTGCTATTTTAATATTTTATAGTCCGGTGCATAGGACATATAAAAACCACTATTTTAATGTTTAGAGTTCGATTGGAACTGTATAGCCGCCCTCTGTATTCCTCTTTCTCAATAATGAAATTCCTGCAGTTAGAGACAAATTATCGAACCACGTAAAATCTATGTATCTTGTTCTTTCTTATTTCTTATTGCTTTATATTCTTGATTTATTTTTCGATAGTCTGTGTTTGTCTGCGAGTTTAAATGATATTAAATCCCAACCAAAAGGGCCTCAACAAGAGACTCGTCAGGCAGACGATCTTCACCATTCATCTGCTACAAACAGCTGTCCAGCTTTATCAAAAAAGGCCTAGATTAGTGAAAGAGAACAAGGAAATACAGAGTCTAAATGAGGCTCAACAAGGTAAACTCACATGCTGAACCAATCCATCTTCACCGCAAGTATAAAATATATGAGAACTGCCAGGTTCAATGGCCAATTTAATGGCCCGCCCTTGATGTTTCGCCAGCAATTTAGTCTCCACTTGGCCATTTTCTAGAACTTCAGCATGTCTCACCTAAAGAAACAATATTCTGATCAAGAATAAATATATATATATAGTGTTTAAAGCTGATAGAATAAAAACCATATTGTAAATTATGAAACACAATAACACACCACAACACTTTCTAAACCTGATAGAATATTGAAATAGGATGGCAGATCTTTGATAATAATGCTGCTGTCATGTTATCATCCACTTCACATCATAAAATTTTCCAAGTCCATTTACTTGTGAGGGTAACTTACTATCCCACGCCTTGTTTTATTTTGAAAAAAACATCAGCCCCGCATGCACGATAAGACTGCATAAATTCAACCTCCCCGGACCCTGGTGCACTAGCCACTAGGTCGTCCATATTTTCTTATGAAAGGACATCAACCCACACACCATGTAAAATATGGTAAAAAAGAAAATAATATTATTATTATTAAAAATCTTAATTTAAGAGATAAAATAATAATTAATGGTTAAATTATGGGTCAAAAATATAAATTTCTAAAAAAATAAAGTTATACTATATATATAAGTGTTTGACTGCCACTTTTCTTCTTCCAGTGTGCTGTCGAGAGAGTGAGAGAGAGAAAGGTGAATATTGTTTTATTTTTTTATTTTTTTTCATTCTCAGATCTACGAAGATTGACCCGTTTAATCGCTTCGGGTCAAGAATTAAAGTTGCTCTACTCAGCGAGAGTTACGCAACCACACCAAATATTATATTTTTCTCTAAAAGAATATCAAAGACGATAATTTAGACTTAAAATTTGGGAAGTTAAATTGGGCTTACTCGAAATTCCAGTACGTGTGCTCACGCTACGAGAGGTAGGGTTTCCCCTATTTAGATTTACTTTTAACCTAAAATATAGCATACGAAATGAGTAGGCTATAGGTGTATATCGCATGTTAAGTCTTAACTAGTGTAACTAGTGGGTCAAATATATAATTTATAATTAACTTTGTAATTAGAAAAATCCTATTATGATTAACTTGGTGTAAGTTAATGTTAGTGGTTTAAAACATGTTAATTGTACATTAGCATTATTATATGTTTTAAATGACATATCAAGTTTAATGAAATTATTAGCTTATTATGTGATTATGGAATAATATGTATGTTAAATGATTATTTAGCATATAATTATTGTGGTGGACTTGTGCTTACGTTTATAGAATTGATAAACATGTTGTCATGTTGAAAATGTCATTATATTGTATTCTTTATGTAATGAACATTGTAAATAGTATTAAAGGCAATTGCATATTGAAATGTCATTATGCATGAGTTATATTACATTCATGAGCATTGACATGAGTGAGAATGTATGCATGTGATGAAATCAATCACCACATAAGTGGTTGATTATGGGCTCGAAAAAGTCGCACCAAGGTCCGGCTGAGTCACACGAAAAATTAAATGGATAAACGTGTCGGGAATAGCAAGAAAGGTTAGATTCTCCCTCGGGTGCAAGATCCGCTTACTTGGTTTATACACTTTTCGGCGGTAAAATTTCCGAAAAGTGTAACGGCCAAAACGGCACCGCAGGTGGGATGTTCTAAGAATCCGTTAATGATTGGTGTCTCATTGGTGTAATATCATAAATCATCTCTACACAAAGACACAAGAAAATAAATTAATTAGTCATTGAATGTACATAACTCTAATTACGGAGGCTTGGAATGCCTAGATATATACGCATGTCGTTGCATGTGTTGTGAGAGTTCAGGATGGGCCTTGGTGTGGGTGTTGCTTGCATGAGTCTCATTTCATGGCATGACATGATTTATGACATTTGTTCATAATTGACATGTTTGAATGAATGCATGAAATAATTGTTGCATGTGACATTTCATATGCATTTAGGTTGAGAGGTATTCTCTATAAGAGTTACCCTATTGAGCGTTGGCTCACCCTTTATGAGAACATTTTTCAGGTATTGCACAGGCGTCCACCGAAGGCGAGGCCATGAGCCTGCTTTGACGACAGAGCCGGTCTGTGGCTCTTCTTTTGACATCGTTGTCCCTTGTTTATAATTACTTTTGGCCTTGTGTAATTTTTGTAACAAAAAACTTGTTTATATTTAAAAGACATGTATAAGAGACTCTTTTGAGACATTTATTCTTTTATGAGTGAATGTACGTAATGATGATAATTATAGTAGTATCTGATACTATGCTAAGGAGTAGGGATGAATGAGTCAGGTGTGATCAATGTTATATGATTGCATATGTTGCGTTTTGGATAGAGCTCCCCGTATAAAGAAGACTCTGCCCAAATTTTGTTAAGTTATGAATCTCGGTAAATGGGGCATAACGGCGTGGTAACGAATTATACAGTATCCACGGGTATTTCGCAGGTTAATGGGTAATTAACCAGATAATTACTAACACCTGAATTTTGGGGTGTCACACACCATGTCATTAACATCAGTATACTTGGGAGATCTTCTAATAGATTCCAATAATAGACAAATGCCAACTTTAAGTGAACTATAGATGTTTCAAATCATGTTGTCATACTGCAGCACCAGAAGAAACAAATTACCTGCCATCAGCAGCACAAGTAACAATGCTTCGATCCTCTGTGTAGGGCATGATTTTTGCATGCAAAACATTGTGATTATGACCTGAGTGGAATGAGAGTTTAACCTGCCCAGCTTCCCAATCCCAGAATAATACCCTCCTAACATCAGAGCCTGACACAAGAATGTCGCCATCTGCGTTGAAGCTAACTGTGTTCACACAACCTCTGTGGTTTTCCAGTTTCCTAAAGAGATCGAGTCGGAGAACAAGGTCCTGAAATAGGAAAAGATGAATTAAAGCTCTGTTCAGATATAAAAATCCTATGTACTGAGCAATGAGAATTACACATTACAAACAAAAACCATCAAGAGAAACATCTGTTGGACACAAAACAATTTACCATTTGACAGTGTTTAAAAATTCATAAACAAACAGCACAATGCAGCCACTCCAAGTATATCACAGCATAGTCTGCCTCAAAACAAGACCAAACAGCATTGTCTTCTTGTAAGGAATTCAGACCTGAATTCTTTGCAGCATCATGATTCAACTTATCATGGAACGGGCCCCAAAAAAGTTGTAAAAATAGAAGGTGATGATAAAAGTAACAAGCAACCTAGTGACATTGTGATGATTAAACTTTTAGTTTTGTGCAAGGATCATCACAAAATCAATGCATATCTAGAGGTTCTTAAGATATTAAAATTCAGGACTTAAAAAAAAAAATTAAATCTTCATTTGTTAGTTTTTAGTCTACCAAACATCACCAAAGTTACAATAACTATGATCCACCACCTGTTTTAACGGTTCACACAAAATTAACAAAAAAGAAACTAAACCATAGTTGACGTAGAAGTTTTTTCCCCATCATTGCAGGGCTCAGTATTCATGTGTTCCAACATTAGACATGTGCATATAAAGACATGCCTAGTGCATATACATTGTTGCCAATACACTTTCACATATACAAAAACCATGGACATAAATGTATGAGATGGGGGTGGAATCCACTACACTGAGTCAATAACAACTATCTTTCTACACCAGGTGTTAAATTAGCAAAATAAAAATCATAGAAAAAGTTGCTGGTGGACTTGTTAATCTTGCATGGTTAAATGGATCCCCCCCCCCAAGGCACGTGGATGATCACATTTATGGATTGGATTTAAACTAAAATGTCTCAGCAAGAAAAGCACCTATACTTGTTTCGCAGGGCAAGCTTACACAGTATTGAGTTGCAAAGCTTGAACCACAAATCCTTGATATGTCTCAAAGCTATCCAAGCATATAAAACCACTCAAACCACCAAATTTGAATAATGTTTCCTCTCGACAAGAATGCTGAAACAATCTACTTGATCAATCTCTTATTAATACAGTAATTAATGCCCACCCAAGCTCAAGCAACACAAATTGCAAAATGTGAATTTCAAATGTTAGCATCAGCACATAGGATCAGCATACACAAGTGCATAAATTGAGCCTTTTAGGAATACGGTAACCATACGCAACATTGTTGTGAGATACTATGAAGAATTTGAAAAGTGAATGGCAAACCAAAGAAATCCAACAGAGGGTTAAGGATAAGATAAAAAAACCTCGGAGGCGCCGAGACGGTGAGCGAAGTTTCTGGTAGAGAGCTCGCCGACTTCTCGTTTCCAAACATCGACAACCGCCGTGTCGAGGCTTGTTCTCGCCCTCTTCCCCATCCTCTGAATATAATTTTTTTTTTTTTTTGGAAAACTCTGTGAATGTATACTCAAAATAGGATGTTCGATTCGTTGGTTTGATTTAAGCAAGTGAAAGAATAAATCAAACATATCATTCTATATGTATGTATAAACAGAGAGATCATGCATGGGCAGTTATAAATAAGTTTTTATGTATTTATTGTTATTATTATAATAACTATGCTGGGGAAGACATCGTTTCTGGTCTGTTCTTCGTGTCCTTTTGGGATTTCGCCTTATACCGTTCGGTCTTGGTTTTAAATGTTCGTTTGCATCACTATCAACCAACAGATAAAAGACACACAGTCTCTCTCTCTCTCATGAGTTGAACTATTTTTTTAGCCTTATTTGACTAGGCTCGTTTATATATAAAATAGTTGATTTACGCAGACTCTGTTTGAGTTCGACTTGAATTCTATACAAACTAAAATTGAATAATTTTTAGGCTTATTTCAGAAAAATAAGCTTGCAAACCTCAATTCAATTAACACCGTGGATAAAAAAGTTCTAATTCAATGCTAAGGAAACAAGGAACCATTTCTTGATTTGTGCGAGTATCGTTTGGATACGGAAATATTATATTTTATATCATATTTTTAATTTTTATTCAATAAAAATGTATCACGATAAATTGTCACCCCCAACAATATAGATAATTCCATTTCAAATCCTTTTTTGATCGATGATAAATAATTACTTCAGAATCTACAATTTTATCAATTAAAAAATTTTGTTGTCTTCGTTTTTTGTTTCTATATTAATCAGGTGATATATTTTGCCATAACGAAGCAGATGTCATTGTTTCAATTCTATCATCTGTTCCAAGGGGGAAAAAAACAATTTGGCTCAGTGCATCAATTTGGCAGATGAAGTTGACAAGGCTATGCTCAAAATTGTTTTAAATGATTGGCTAACATGTCCTTTGATCGTGCCAATGTACTTAGGAAAGTGGAATAAGAATTTCCTCCGAAGGGCAATATAAAAAAAAAAGAATACAATCGATCGAAAAATTGTAAAAAGATAAGGTGAAAAATCTCCCCCCCCAAAATTCCTATAGGGGTGCTAAACTCTATGATTTGAATTCTTGGGCTACCTCAAATAATCAATGCAGATTAAAGCATCTCAAGCTTCATAATCTTCTATCATTTAGTTTTCTCACTCATGAAGGAGAAGCTTCCCAAGTAGAGGGAAGCCGAGCGGAACTCGCCGTAGGCATGGTGCGAATGTTGATGTCAAGGGGATGCAAGCGGTATTCGATGTCAAGCTCTTTAAAAATTGTAACCATCTGTTCAACCAAAAGGGCTCTCCTTTGCCACTTCTCCCCCATATTTTGGTGGTTCATTCTATGTCTCAGCCATACTGCCATCTTCATCATGTTCAGCCCCTCCAGCTCCATCAGCACAACTGTTGGAGATGCATACCAATGGTCCTTCTTGATTTCAATATAACTGCAATGGCAGCCATAATTAACAAGTATATAATCCATTAAATACGAACATATTATCAGAAATTACATCGTAATTTGAAAGCTTGGATGTTCCTAAACCTACCTTGTTATTTTTTGTTTCATTATGGCAATCTTATCGGCTGGAGTTGCAATATGTACATGGAACTCAACCGCATCTCCCATATCTGGACTACGATAATAATTACTGATGGGTTTTGTTGAAAGAGTACTGTTTGGGAATATAATCTTCTGGTTGTCATATCTCAGAAAGACAGTAGTTAAGATATTCATTTCTTCAACAATCATCTGAAATTCAATGAAATACATACTAGGCCCAAAATATACCAGAAGGGGATAAAACACAAATAAGGAGATATTCACATAAATATATACATATGTTCCAACATAAATTGGTACCTGAACTCCGTCAATTTCACACCGATCACCCACATCGTATGGGTGCATCACAAACAAGAATATGAGAGCTTCAAATATTGTCTTGCATGTGTTGCCAAATATAAATGCCACCACGACGATCTGAGAGCTTACAAAGAGTAGAAATTTGCTTGTTGCAATTTCTAGTATTACAAGGCAGATAACCACAATAGTGATGCCAACCAGTACATTCACCATATGATGAAGTTTGTTGACTGCTGTTTTTGTATCATTAAGTGTCAAGGCAAGCGCTCTTCGTTCTCTAAAAGCATTGACCTGCAAGAATCAGGTGTAACGCACTATCCAATTACTTGCTTGGTCACATTGTACCATAGATCTGTAATGCATGTATGTTTCGTAGAGCCTTGCTTATCATTCAATTAATAAATTGCACCACAGGGAAAGTTGTGTGCATGTGCATGATTTCTTTGTACCCAAAAATTTCAACAACTGCCCCAATTCTTACCACCCAATTCTTCAAGGTTGATTTGCTGATTCTTTCGCTTTCAGATGATCCGTCCATGACACTCATGGTCTTCAAAGCCTCATCTTCTCGCAAGAAACGCATCATCTTGCATATAGATGAACCTGCCAGAAAATATATTTTAAGATTCTCAATAATCTGAAACTAGCTACAAGATCAAATGAAGATAATGTAAATGGCCAGCAGGTGAACCAGTCAAAGAGATGATCAATAGCTTAACTGGATTGTAACATATTACCACCATGAGGCCTACATGGTTGGAGCAGGAAACAGAAACAAAAGAGAATCAGAGATTCTAGCAATGATGAACAGCATGTAGAGACCAACCATTCCATTTATGTGTAATAAAAATTCAAAAAATTGCACATATAACCAATTTGGATTTTATGCAATTAACTGCAAATCTAATTTACTGAATTAACTTATATTTGAACATTGTCCAATGAGTTTATTAGCTGATCAATCCTTTAACTTGAAAATCACTTATCATTGATTGAAGCATGCCCAAGTATGGTGGCTCGGTCTTGTGTGAAGGTCCAGAATACGATCGAAATGCAAAATCTAAATTCTTGCCCAGCTAGAATGAAATCAATGAATGCAGTCAGCTTCAACAGGGAGAGGAATACAAGAAAACAGTAAAGCGGTGGTACATAAAATCTTACTTGGACCTAGGCCTTGCCACATTTTGGAATATCTTCCTAGCCGCCACTTTTGCCTCAAATTCACTTCTAATCTGTGTTGTAGACTCATCTTCTTGTGTTGTATCTAGTATCTGCTCATCCAGGGTAGATATGACACCATGTCGAACTATTTTCACCAGCCTCTTCATATTCCAGGCAGAGATGTTCTTAGGATTCATCCTATGCAAGTGATCAATTGTAATCCCCTCATTCTGATTTTGGAAATTGGGCCGGAAACTTTAAGGCTCACTCCTCCAACTGGTGCTCTCAGAGGTCCTCCACCCCCTATCACCCTCCCACTCTTAGTTGGTGGAAAGCATATGCCCTGAGGTCAGGGGGCACGGTAGCCCCTGCATTTTGAAGCTTCCATACCTCAGCCATTGTCCTCTCTTCTTCTTTCTCATTGTTGTGTATTTCAATCAATGGTGGACCAGATAACGTTTCAATCACGTATTGATTGAACAATGAATCCTGGATTCGATCAAAAAAAGTGCTCACATGGAAGGAAGATGCAAGGACTTTAATTATGAGGGTCTTCACTAGCCATAACAATGTAGCCACCAGCATACAAACCATAAGTCTATTCACAAACCAAAGGAACTTATTACTACCCTCAACCTTCTTATCAAACATAGAATGCCAAGCAGTCAAAACCAAACCCAACCAAATGCAGTTCTGAACTGCTTTTCTCACCCCATAAACAAAATACAGAACTCGTTTACGCAAAAGAAAGTTCCTCTCAATAAAGAAAACAACAATTCTAATCCCCCAACCGGACACCAATCTTCCACATATCAGGACAAGAACCAAAACATCCCATTTCCAGAGTTCAAGTCCCCGTAGCTTTTTTTCCTTCCACTTAGAAATTGAAAGAGTACAAATCAAAGCTGTTACAATCAAAACAAGACTAACCCATTGAGCCAGAGTCAATGCATTAAGTTTTGCCTTCTTAAACTCATCAGGAAGATCTTCATCGAATAACGAGTCATCCTCTTCATCGTCACCTAGCTTTCCCAACATCCCAGAAGCCCTACCTAACATCCCAGACCTCATTGGACCCGACTTCCCAACTCTCTGTGATCTCATCTCCGGCTGTGGTGGGTCTATCAACCTCGATTTCGTCTTCATCCTCATCATACTTGCTCTCTTCTGGAACGACGTACACCTCAACACCTCACCGCCACCGCCACCGCCATTGCCATTATTATCATTAACCGCGGGCACATTGACGATCGCCTCCTGTTATGATGTTGTTGTACGTGTTCATCCTTATCGTCCTCGGATGAACCTTTGTCTTTATACCTCTTTTCAACAGGTTCAGACGCAATATCAACCACGTTTAGTTTGGGGTCTTGGAAAGAAACTCTTAAATCTTTTGAAATCGAAGCTTTACCATTAATATGGTTGCTATTTTCCGTTTCGGAAATAGGCGGAAAATTGTGGTGGTTGTTTTGATGACCATGACGTAGCTCGTCCATCTCCAAATCCATGTCCAACGACATCTCACCCCCAGACGCCATCTGTTTATTCAAAAACTGACCAATCAGCTTCGACGGCGGGTCGTCCACAACGTCACTACGTTTTTGCTGAAACTCAAATCCCTGTCCCCGTCCATTTCCATTGTTGCCACTTCTCTCATCATCTTTCCAGAAATCGTAGGTGGTTTCGTGCCAAATCTTATTATGATCAGCCTCCATGACGTTATTACTGCTAATGTAATCGTCACCGTCTATTTTCACGATAACTTCCCGGCGGTCGTCGTTGAGATCGTTAGAGTTTGTGCTTCTCATTATTATCTGATTATGATCGTCAGTTGTGCTGTCCCGGTGGTGATCGGAGAGAATTGGTTGTTGTTCGCGATGTGTATCGTCGACGACACCACCGGCTGAGATCCTTCTTGAGTGTTTGTATGAACCATGAGATTTAAGATTCTTAAAGGAAGAAGAGAAATCCATTAATCAAAAATCTAAGGTTTTATTTTCGAGTACGTATCTTAGAGAGAGAGAGAGAGAGAGAGAGAGCGGCGCTGTGACGAAGGAAGATTTCGGTTATGGAAACATAACAATATCCTAACAGTATTTCCCCGGTTTCTATATGGAAGATGTGTATAAGAGCTTGGACGCATGCGGCGAGACCGCCATTAAAGTGGGCTTCAAAATTTGCAGAGAAAATGGAATGTTGAGAATGAAGAAGTGAACGGGTGGCGAAAATGACGAGTTTCCAGTAACAGAACAACATGGTATGTGATGAGACTATATGGTTTTAGTTTAGAGGGGCACCCAAATAAATAACAATAAATTTAGGGTATGTCTCCACCATTTTTGGGAATTGAATCCTTCCTTTATTCAGTGGTTCTAACTATGCGCATAGGGATGCATGTGGAACGTCATTTAAGAACAAAATTGAAATGAATAAAACAATTGAATAAGACTGTTTTTCAAATTTGTATACCTTTGATAGTGTTTTTCGTTGGACCTCAAAAACGTTACAATATAGTTGTTTCGGTAATATATATATGATATCAAAATAAATTTCAGTGAAATTCCTCTTTATTGGATCACTTATTCAAGTAAAACTTATTTTATGGACACTAGTTTCTTGCTAATGCACTGCTAATTAGTGAAATACAGAGAAAGAGAACAAGAATATTGGAAGCAATCTCTAATTCACTCATGCTATTAGAACCAATATCATAAAATAGACTACAATGTAAACTCCCTCCGATTATGATTTTATAAGTAAACTAGAGATAATTCGTGTTTAAAGTCACTGCACAATGTAAATGATTTTGAGAAAGAAATTAGTAAACGTGGAATGAAGTTATTTGAGACCATTGGATAGACTTATTAAAGTCTGACCTATTTTATATTTTAGATAATCAAGCAAACTATCCAACCCTATATATGGGTGTCGTGACATACCACTTATCCATTTGTTCAAAGCTTAGATGGTTTCTCATTCTCCCAAATGTAATTACTTTGTATAATTTTTCCCATGGGAAACCAATTAAAACATACTACAATTTTAATTTGTTTTCAGAACTTTCAATTGTTCCAATTTAGTTCTTAACTATCAATTTTGTCTTCAATAAGTCCTTTCATCTATATATTTTCACCATTAAATCAACGCTTAAATGGATTAGATTAAGCTAATCTCTAGTTGATCCAACTATGAAAATTGATGGAAGAATTTAACTAAGACAATTAAAAGTTCAAGAAAAAAACAGTTGCAACTTTTTTTAAGAAAAAAACTGAAAACGGTTGCAGCTTATGGTGTTTCTAATACATGAAAATTTAAAAGATGAATTTGAAAAAAAAAAATAAAAGAAGAAAACTTGCAAAACATATGGAAGATATGTTTGGAGCTACTTAGAATTGAAATCAATCAGGCACGCACAGTTCCCAGTTTACATCACAAAAAGCGAATGACTAGAATTCACAGAAGTTATAGAACATGTCTTCTCACCAACTGATGCTATCATGATACATTGCAGAAAGAAGGACACACTTTCGTAATGTAAATCTATAGCAGGGGAAAAAAATGTTGAAAATTGCTGTACAGTGCAGATGAAAAAGTAGAGAGCAAATGACCCCTAATTAGACGAATGTAAGTATGTGTTATAAATGTTGCATCTCCTGTCAATGATGTCCCCGTCTGAGAATGGAAAAAAATCCCCCGATGATTTGTCCTTGTGTCGATCCTCTCCGTCATCTCCAACCTGTTCCACATATTCCAGGCGTCATCTTTATTACCAATGAAGAACGGGATGAAATTTGTCACAAGACAACGAGTTATTTAAAAAAGACAAAAAAGGAGTTGAGGAAACAAAATAAATGGTCAAAACCAATAATATTGAGGAAGCAAATGGAGTGAGTTAAGCAAATTATTTCTGGAATTTTCTAAATACTTTCTGGAGCTATACTTCAAATGTTTTGAAATTCATTGCTTATAAACAATATAAGAACATCCAAACATGGTTAACATTAGACCAACACCTCCTTCGCTATTTGCTGCAGGATTTCTGTTATCAGAAAAGTCGGGTCTTAAAGTTGGGTCACACCGCCAGCATCTCTCAAGCAGCTCAGCAAGCTTAGGATGAGCCTGTTTCGGTATAGTAGGCCGTAGACCCTG